TCTTTTTAAAGGAACATCATCGCCAGCGTCAACATTTTCGTCGTTTCCATTACTCTTGATGTTATCACCACTATTATTATTGATGTCATCATCACCATTTTCATCATCAGCATCATTATCGTCGCCATCCTCATCGCCGTGTATGAACGTCTGATGATGACTCAGACCCTTTTGACTATAGAAATAATCATCGCAAGAATCGCATTTGTAGAACGGCCTCATGGAGATCAATTGGGACGGAGATGACAATTTTCCAGGTGAAAATGATGATGATGAACCCGTCGCCTGTGATGACGTCGCCGATGACGTATTTGGAGCAGGTCGAAGGTCAAATGTCCCCGGAAGGAGGTGCACGTTGTGGGTGGTTAGTAGGTGATGCTCTAGAGATGAGCCGGACATCAGCATTGCACAGCAGATCTCGCAGACGTGGTGCTGTTGAATTGATTCAAATATTATTTATTCATAATAATTAATATTTAAATAATTATAGTGGCCTTTATTAAACTAGTGACTGCAGTATTGGAACCGTTACTTGGTATCAATGAATTACTAGGTGTGTTTTAAATGTATGGCAGATGTATGGTAGTCTTGAAACCTACAAGAAACTAGGTATGAATCTTAATTTTGTCTGATTTAATACACGTATCAATAAATATACAATATTTATCCGAATAAATTAATAATATAATAAATAAATAAATAATATAATAAATAATAGAATAGAATAGTGAGTAAAATATATTAAAATATATAACAGTGAAGCAAATGTAAAGAAAACAATCTAACATAGAACGATGGATGAGTTATGGTGAGTGCAGTAGCCAGAACTGTGACATGATCATCATCATTAGAAGACGACGCCTCTGATGTTTTTATCGTTTCTATGGGCTGCTGATGCTGTGACTGATGCTGCTGCTGCTGATGATGATGATGTTGTAGTTTTTGTTTGATCAGTTGTTTCACAGTTGCAGGTGTTGTCGATGATGATATTGTCGTCGCAGCAGGTTTGGATTTGTTAGCAGCAGTAGTATGTTCAGCACAGCATAGCATCAGCCTCTTCTCTGACCTCGAATGCATGCACTCCAGTCTGTTCCAACAGAACATAATATGGATAATAAATCACAAATCGTCAGATACATCACAACGAATAAGGAAATATATATCTCATTTTCATCACTCTTCCTTCTTAGCTACAATTTTGAATAGAAAAATAAAGAAAAACTCCAAAACGAAAAAATACAAAACCCTCGCCTACCTTTTCCTCTTGCCAGGGGCAGGTCCCGTAACATGCCCCGCTGTGGAAACTGGCCACATCATTGGTATATCTGCATCCCTAGCAAGGAGGAACAAAATTAGTGCAAAGTTTGAACATCCGACTGCAGCTCTCGAGGTGGTTCTTGAAGGTTACCTTTGAAGATATCTTAGTTACAAATGGACAAAGCTGACAGACGTACATTCCATTGAGACCAGATATGAGAGGTGTGTGCTGGTATTGTTGCTGTATGCAATAAGTGCTGTTGTTGCAGTTGTTGTTGCTGTTGTTGTTGCCGGTGTAGTGGTAGTACTTAAGGCTGATGTTGTGGGTTGTTACCATGTGCTGGTAAAAGGAGGACTGAGTCTTTGTGGAGAAATTGCAGAGGCAGCAGTCGTGCCTGGTGTCATTTTGAATTAATTCGAAACAGCTAATCAAAGTCAATCAATCGAGGCTAGCCAATCAAAACCAACCAGTCAATTAAAACCATCCAAGCACAGACAACTAACCTGCCAATAATGTAACTGTGCCCATACTTCTGATGGTTACTGAGTTGGTAGAGGGATGTGGCCAGGAAGACACACCGCGAGCAGACGATCCACGGACTCTTCATGTGCTTGTTCAATTTCCCAAGAACATACCTGTCAATCAATCAGCCAACCAATCTACCAATCAATCAATTAACCAACCAACCAATCTAGCTCTAACTCATCCGTTTGTTAATCAACAGACTTATCCATTAATTTATTCATTCATCTATCAATCTATCTACTCATTCATTCATTCATTCCTTCATTCATTCATTCACCTACCTAGTTTTTTTCCAACCATCGAGAGCCTGAGCAATTTCGATAGGCCGGGTTTTTCCGATGTTATTCTCTACGTAGTACGGCGGGTAGGCCAACTCGACGGAATATATAAGATCTTTGTAGACGCTTTCTTTCACCAAGGAGAGGCCAAGGTCATGGAGAGTCTCAAAAACAGGGCGCATTTTTATTCTTCCTTTTTTCTAAAAAATAGTTTATTCAGTTTTTTTTTCATTTTGTATTAAATAAAACATGAAAAATTTACAAATACAATAAGAAAAACAACAAAAAAGTAACGAAGAACAACGAAGAACCAACATTAAAATCTCCAGTAAAAGCTGCAGCTACAGTAGCAGCTGCAGGTGCCACAGTGGTAAATACGACATTACTACTGCTACTGAAACCATCGTAAAGACCAACTTCACTGGCGCTGGCCACAAAGATTTGAAAATTAGACATGACTGACAGCTTTTGGGGAGATTTAATAAGGTGGAAATTTGAGAGCCACTGTATGTCACTAGATAGATACTCTCCTGATAGAATATTGTTGTTGATGTCATTGCTGTGTATCTGT